TGGGGTGGGGTGGGGTGACTGTTGGGTTTGTGGGTTAGTTGGCAGATTCATTAGTGGAATGGACCCCACTTCTTTGAGTGTGGTATGTAAAATTACTACAATATCCTTAATGAAGGTATAATTTTGACTTTTCTATTCGATCTAATGGCTACGATGTATTCTTATTTCTTTTATTGAGAACCATTCTCACCGGAGCGCATCTATATATATATATATAGAGAGAGAGAGAGAGAGAAAGAAAGGATCATATGAGAATGACTTTTAATGCGAGAAATGAGAATGCGTCTGGATCATTAGATCCATCTAATTAATGGTAAAGATGAAATCAAAATTTATTAAGTTATAGTCAAACACAGGTGGATTCTTGTAAATAATTATACATTGTATGGTTAATTATAAACATTACACCAATAAGTGAGGGTATATTTGACATTAACATTTATGTGGACTCCACCACTAACCCTAATAATCTACCTACCCTCTTTCATACACATAAAAACGCATACAACGCACACATTAAACACCCACAAGCACCACCGGCAGACCATAGCCTCGCCCCCGTCGCGCCGCCGCAAGCCTCTCCGGTCACATCCCCGCCGAAACATCCCGCCTCCGTCGATCTGAAGAATTCTCCGATTTCGGCACTGTGCGTGACCGGCGTGGTCGACCTCTCCCGGCGCCTGTGTGGTCGTCCTCGCCAGGCGGCCGTTTATCATTGCCTCGCCGTCTCGTCGTGTCGCCACCATCATGGTTTCAGTTCCCCGCAGAAAGTCGGCGACACCCTGTGGAGATTGAATGGCCGAGACGTTTTTTTTTTCTTTCAATGTGCAGAGCCCAGGCCATGGCGGCGTTAGGCGCCGGGAGATAAGGACGGCGGAGGGCGACCTTAGCGCCGGTGACTGAACACCGGGAGTGAGCTCAGGCGGAGGTGAACGGAAACAGAAGATTGAAAAATGTCATTTGGAATTGTGGGTTACATTTTGAGAATTTGATATGTTGTAGGGACTTGATTGTATTTTTTTGAAGTTTCATTTATTTCAATTTAATACCTTGGGCAAATCTGCAATATAACAAAAGTTATATTATGTTATTATACATGGGGCAAATCAATTGATTATATAATCAGCTTATATACACAATACAATCTTTAAGTATAATTTGTTGGTTAATTGAAATAACTCAAAATAATTGAAATAAATTATATTATTTAATATGAATTCATATTAATATTCTATATTACATTTCGATTAAAAAATTATATATTTAAATAAATGAAATATATTATGCAATATAGTTTTTAAGGTGCAATTTGTCCAACACTATGGTGCACCGTGACTGTCTCTATTGTGCATATTGAACTAACCGACCTTTTCGTAACACATCGAACTGGACATGAATATAATCAGCTCGTTTATTCGGTTCAGCTAACCGAATTATCCTAAACAATATAAATAATTTGTTATTTATACGAAATTTATATTTGATATGTTAATAATCTTATTTCTTATTTTTATATTATTTTTGTGACACCTTATTTGTGTTGTTTTTATAAGGTGCAACATGATGTGATATAAGGTGCAATGAAACGTTGTATAAAGTGCAACAATACTGGAATTTTGGTCCGTTAGCACACTTGTATTTTTTTATTTTTTTTATTTTTTTGTGGGTAGATAATTGATGGATATATTAAAGTATTATGTAGAGTGCAACGTGATATTTTACAAAGTGCAACATACTACTTTATAAAGTGCAACATTCCGCTATATAAACTGCATGAATTTATATTCGTTTGTTTGGATTTATGTTGTGTCGTATTTTGTCGGGAGCTATTGATGTTAATTGTGGAGTATGGTGATAATGTGCAACGTATTATTTTATAAAGTGCAACATATTAATTTATAAAGTGCAATGTTTTATTTTATAAAGTGCACTGTATTGACATATAAAGTGCACTACTCTATGTAATAATATATAAATTATGTTTTTTGTTTTAAGATTAGATGTAGTAGATAAATAATTCATTACTTGCATAATAAAAAAAAATATATTTATTTTATTCACTATTTTTATTTATTATTTTGTATTATTCTTATATAATATATTTATTTATTATTTTAGTTATATAATTATAAATAATATATAGAAAATAATATTTTTATATAGTTTTAAAAATTATAGATTTGACCATGGACTAAATTAGAATAAAATCAAAATTGTTAAAATTGCACACAAATCCTTTAGATTTATCAAATTTACAAAAATTGCAATAACACTAAATCCAATAATTCACTATCCAATTTCTGAAATTGGGGATCTAGAATTGGGGCCATAATTGGGGATCTAGAATTGAGGCCATAAGAACCGAACAATCCAAGTTCTCACATTGGGGCCAAAATCTGCAATTTGAGCTCCATATTGACGGCGTTGGCGGTTCAGGCGGAGACCGAGGTCGAGAATCTGCTACCTGAGAACTAATAGGAGGACGACAATGGAGAGTCAGCGGCAGAGGTTGAGTCGGCGGCGGCGGACGTCGATGAACCTGAGCTGTTCGGCCATGATGTTGAAGAGGGATGACGATGTCAACGACAGCGGTTGTTCGCGACGAAAGATCGCTCATTGCGTTAATGGCTTGTCCGGCGGAGATCGGTGAACGACAACGGAAGACGACTCTATGCTGCGGCGGACATCGGTGAACGGTGACTCCATGCTGCGCCTGATTCTCGGGCGGCGGAGATCGGTGAATGGCGACGGAACACGACTCCATGCTGCGGCGGTACTTTGACGGTGGTCGGAGCAATGGCCCGATCGGGCTGTGCGTGTGTGTGTGTGTTTAGGTGTACGTGTGTGTGTGTGTGAAAGAGAGAGAGAGAGAGAGAGAGAGAGAGGAATGTGTGTTTTTGGTTTGTGTGTGCATGATACGTGTATGTGTGTGTGTGTGTGTGTTTGAGATAGAGATAAATCAGAGGTGATGGGTTTGATAGTGGTAGGTCCCACTTAATATATTGGTACAATGTCTAAATTACCCTTAATGAATCATAGATGGTCTATTTTTTATTACCGTTAGATCATGCGATTCAATGACTACGATTTATTCCTATTTCTCGCATTAAGAGTCATTCTCACTAGAGCCCAACCCTATATATATACATATATAGATTATCGTACGAACTAAATTCACCTGTAGGATTTGATACGATAATCTTATGAGTTCCTTAATGTGGCATCATCAATCTGGATGACTAGAACACAATGCCCTAGTGCCAATAAATAGATATAGTGCAGATAATTTCGTTACTCAAGATACGAAACATATTGACTGTTGTGGAACCCCGCCTTACTAGCTTTGAAAAAAAAATCAGAGTAAAATTTTTGCTTTTGTTTTCGAAGGTGGTGCGAGCTTAGTTTTCGAAAACACTAACTTGTTGCGGGATGACACAGATAAAAACTTACTTAACTTGCTCACAGACATAGTAAAACATGCAACCAAACTATCCGCCATGGATATGGAATCATACATGCCATGTCTGAACTGTCTCGCACAATCTAAAGTCTGCTAGCGGAAGCATCCGAAATACAGAAATACATAGAGTACATGCATACATATCTGAATGAATACATGATTATAAAAATAAGGACATAAAATGTGCATAAAATGTCCTCGCTGTCATGACCACGCTTCACCACGCATAGCTCACCCAGCACGCTCGACTCCGTCTCCTGAAAAACACAATGGGGGCGTGAGCAAACCACTATGCCCCGCAAAGACCAGTACTGAATAAGACATCATGTATAATAACGTGTCATGAACATAAATACATAAGAGCTGAACTGTAAACTTTTCTTTTCTTTCTTTATTGTGGTCATAAGACCCTCGGCCTCGGCCGCTCGTGTGCACACCCCGATGGGATATTAAGGCCCTCGGCCTCCACCGGTACCAGGTAAAACTCGAAAGGCCCTTAGGTCGGCCAATCACCTGGGAGAACTAACTGTCTCGAACATACCTCTGTCATGGTACAGATATTATATATAAGGTGGAATCCAGTACATGACCCCCACCTGATAACTGAACTGATGCAAGTGCTGAAACTGGAATAGCGGTCGGAGGCTCGACTCTCCTTAGACTACATAAACATTTAAGCAAAATAATGCTAAGTATCATGCTCGAAATATTTATTTATATGCTAATATGCTCGGATTATTATATGCTAAGACTGGACTGGCTCGGCTCAGAAAAATACTAAAATTCCGAAAGAAGACTCGGACCGGAAGTCACGAATCAAAACGGACTCGAACCGCCGGTCGAACCGACCGGTTCGCTGACTGGCCGGACCACCCCAGAGGGTGCTGGCATGGCCCTGGCACGGCTGGTGCCTCTTGGGTGCACGCTGGGCACGGCCGAGACTCGACTGAGGCCCTGTCGTGCGGTTGGGCACGGACAGGTGCCGCTAGACGCGGGTTAAGCGCAGACAGAGGCCACACGGGCATTGCCGGTCGTCCCCGAGGTCACTGGGCACTCGGGCGTGCTGCTAGCCACGCACCGAGGCATACTGGGCTCAACAGACCCGGCTTGGATCGGCACTTGGCATGGCACGAGGCTCTGGCGCGAGACCTCGTGTTCTGGGGTTAGCACGGCGCAGCCGGGCACCATGCGCGTGGCTTGGGCACGCTGTGTGCGGCCACCACGCATGTTGAAACTACTCGGGCTTACATCTGCGCGAGGTACGAGCGGCTGGCTCGAAACCACGCATGCATGGGCGTGGACAGCGCTGCCGGGCGCTGTCAAAGGGTGTTGGGCGCTACTGGTGCGGTTACTAGGCACACGGCACGCACTGGGCGTTGCGGGCGCTGTTGCGTGCACGTGGGCTGTGCGCCGCACCTACCGGGCGCGGGCACTAACTGGGGTTAGCCTCTGCAGGCACTGGGGCCGGGCGCTACCGCACTACGTGCGCGGACAGCGACCAAGGCCGGCCCTTGCCGGACCTCCGGCGACTTTTGCCAGTGACATGCATAACATAACATCATGATATGATATAAAAAGTATATTTATCACATAAAATGCTAGGATGACCCGGATCATTTTGCATGTGGCTCGGGAGGGCCTATATGGCACCTACGAGCCCTAACATATCAAACCAACTTTCATAACTTATAAAACTACTTAGGTGCCAATGTTTAATACCCAAAATGATGACTATAGGGGCTAATGCATGTGGAATATCTTGCATGCACAATACTAAGGCTCGGGAGTCCAAAATCGAACATTTTCATGAACAATATGACTAAGGTAATGAACTCTAATCATGCTCAAACTTTAACACCATGAATGACATAATATTTGAGGGTGATTTAACTCACAATCTCGACTTGACCATGCATGGAACTAAAATTTTATTTTTAAGGCCATTTAATTATAAAATTCGGAACTTCGGTTAAATCACATGCATGGCTTGAAATAACTACATGAAAAATTCTAAAATGTCATGAAATAATTATGGGGGAAGGATGGTTCGGGCTAACCTCCACCAAAAATGAAAAATGGCTAGGGTGCTCGAAATAGGGCTAGGCTCGGCCTTAGAGGTTTGGCTCGCCTTTGAAGTGGAAGTGGCCGAACTTGATGGTCTCAAAAGACTTAGAAAAATCTAAGAAACACTTAGAAATGTCTAAGCCTCGTGGGATTATGGCTGCAAGTGGCTGGGGTGCGGTGGTCCTTCTTCCCGGGTTGGTGGTGCGCGCGCGGGCATGGTGCCTTAGTCTCGGTTTTCCCTCTTCTCCTCTCAATGTATGCGAGTTTCTAGCTGACCAAGAGCTCCAAAAGGCTGAGGAATAAGGTCTTACATAGGCTAGGGGGGCGGATTTAGCTAGGTTGGTCAATGGGGACACAATTCATGACTTTGCATAACTTCCATGCGCATGGGAAATAGGATGGTCTTGGGGCATCTTTTTAGCACGGTTTTTGTAGAGTATTTGGTGGTATTTGAAGAGTATTTTACTAGAGGAAAAGCAGGTCTTGTCGGGCATCCAAAATGGTGGGGGACAAGGACAAACTTCTTTGATTAAAATAATGGTGGGACATGCTCCATTTGCTTAGGCACTAATTAACTTTGGTTAAGCTTTTCTTAGGGCTCATTGAGCTGAATTAAACCCTTATTAAGCCCCTAATATTCCCAGCTCTTGGGCCATGGGAGATTTGGGCCAAAACATCAAGTATTGTGCTCGGTTGGTTGGGCTGCCAAGGCTGGCGCTGGCTGCTGGGCGCGGCAATGCGGCCTGGGCGCATGGGCTGGCTGGAAGTGGGCTGCTCGCGTGGGATGAGGTTGGGCCGAGCATAGTGCTTGATTTTTATGATCCCATGGTTGCTCCCATACTTAGAAAATTTTAGATATTGATGTTGAGGCTTGGACAAGGCCTTGAGGGCCCTTGGGTGTGGCTAAAGGCGCGGGTTCGGGGCTCGGCACGCACGGCTCGGGTAGGTGCTAGGGTTCGACTATGAAATGTCCAAGGCTTACTTTGACATTCTTATACACTTAGAACAATATTCTAAGCATAAAAATACCAAGACTCAGCTATGCTCGGAATTAACTAGAAAAATGGCTCGGAGCCAAACTAGAGTTCGAAGCCAAATATTCTAAAGTCGATTAGATATAACTTATCAACCCAAGTTAATGGATTGATCTTGATCTTGACTTGACATAGAATATTCCAAAGAATAATCTATTATATTTGAGCATTTAGCATATAAAATATAACTCGAAAAATTCTGAAAATTATGGATTTCACTTATAGTCGAGCAGTGAAAACGTTCTTAATATTATTACTGATTTGGGGTGTTACAACCTATCCTCCTTAAAATATTTCCGTCCTCAGAAATACAAAACTAAGGTGCTAGGCCAAAACTATGTACAGAACATAACATAAAAGTACATATATATACATCTGAAAATCTCAAAACTCGAAATTTGGATAACGAGCTCTGATCTCGGCCTCTCTCTCCCAAGTGGCTTCCGACTCGTCGTGGCGACTCCAGCAAACTTTGACGAGCTCTATATCTCTGTTCCTCAGTCGACGGATCTTCCGGTCCAGAACTGCTACCGGCTGTTCATCGTATGTCAGGTTCTGCCCGACCTCTAGCTCATCAAAGTTCACTACGTGGCTCAGATCGTACACGTACTTTCTCAACATCGACACATGGAAGATATTGTGTACACACGAGAGCTCTAGGGGTAACGTTAGACGGTAGGCTGTTACGCCAACTCGTTCGAGAATATCGAATGGCCCTATGAATCGGGGCTACAGCTTCCCCCTCTTCTCGAATCATACAACGCCCTTCATCGGCGTGACCTTCAGGCTTGTCTCCCTACTCGAACTCAAGCTCCCTTCTACACTTGTTAGCGTAGGCTTTCTGTCGGCTCTGTGCCTCTTTCAACTTTGCTCAGATCTCGACAACCTTCTGTACCGTGTCCTCGATCAACTTGGGACCGAGAACCCGTTTCTTGCCAACTTCATCCCAACAAATGGGTGAGCGGCACTTGCGACCGTATAAAGCTTCGAACTGTGCCATCTTGATCGACGAGTGATAGCTATTGTTGTAGGCAAACTCCACAGTGGGTAACAACTCCTCACACGAACCCCCACGCTCTAGAACACAAGCTCGAAGCATGTCCTCAAGCGTCTGAATGGTCCGTTCCGACCGTCCGTCGGTGTGTGGGTGATAACCAGAGCTAAACTTCAACTTTGTCCCCATGGACTCGTTCAGACTCTCCCAGAAATGACCGGTAAACCTGGGATCTCGATTTGATATAATCTCGGCAGAAATGCCATGGAGTCGAGCGATTCCCTAGATATAGGTATCTGCTAACTGCTCCATGGACATGTCCATCCTGACGGGCATAAAGTGGGCCGACTTCGTCAGCCGATCCACTACAACCCATACCGAGTCGTGGTGCTTGGACGACATCGGTAATCCTGTGACAAAATCCATGGTCAGCTTCTCCCACTTCCACTGCGGGATCTCTAAAGGCTGCAAGATACTCGGTGGAACTTGTTGGGATCTGTGAGGATCTCGTTATGTACAAGTCACGAATTCAATAGCAAACGTAAACCTATGCGCAGCGGATCTAAAGGTTTGACGTAGAGAACTTACGGCTTAAAATTTATGTAGATCTGGTTGACCACGAACGGTTGACCGCAAATGATTGACGGCAAATCATGCCTTGGGTTGCACGAACAAGATCAGATCAAAATCGGATCAAACGGATGCAAACAAATCAAAACGAAACTTTGCAGCCTGGGAGCTTCCGGCGGCGTGTGAGGGCGCGTGTGGCGTCAGAATCCTACGATCTTGGTGGCGATGGAAAGCTCTCGTCGAGACGGTCGTCTGGGTATGCCGTACTTCTCAATCGGACTTCCGGTTAGTTCTGTAGGTCAAAATATATTTTGTCTCGGTTTACCTACAGATCTTCTACTGTATTACTCAATACACCCTTCTTCTACTTGTACCAGTGGAGCAACAAGAAAAAGATAAAGCTCGAATGAGATCTAGAGAGAGAGAGGCGTGGGGCGTGTCTCGTTAGAATGAGATTCTCTTCCCTTCTCATGAGCTTAATGATGTATATATAGAGCTACAGTAGGGACCCTTAGGAGATTAGGAAAAGGGCTCCTTAATTAATTAGACTAACTGTGGACCAAGCCCACTCCTCTAATTAATTAAATAATATTACTGGGCCACCAACATTATATTATTGCACTCCCTTTTCCTAGCCCAAATTACATTTGAGACTCCAATAATAATTACTCGATTTACCTCCCCACATTTAAGATATACTGTCCATTAATTAATTCGATTACTAACAATCAAGAATTAATTAATTTATTATTATTTCACCGAAGCTAGCGCTCGTTCATCACATTCTTATTATGCCGGAACTTAATCCACCTGCAGGGTTTAGCATAACAATCCTTCATGAACTCACTCCGGGGACATCATCAAACTAACGCATATGGTGACCGTAAATATCCTAACAGCACATCATATATATAATATTATTACCCAAAACAGTAGGAATATTAATCCAACGAACTGAACTTCACCCATGTGAATCAAAGTAATATATTATATATATATCTGTCTGTTTAATATATTACGGGTTAAGAGAACGCAGTAATTAACCGAGGCCTAGTTCATTTACGACGATCAGTATAAAATGAACTTCTCCTCTTTGGGATCCTGTTCAATACATAATTGTACTAGTGAAACTAATCAGTCAAGACAAACTGTACAGTTGACACTACAACCGTTCGGATGGGGTGTTCATGTCCATCTAAGTTGTGAACAACTATTCTTGTTCGCAAGTGACTGATAGAGTGATCTTCGGTTCGCCTGATGACGACCCACTTTATCTAAGTGCAGAACAACAGAACGTAGAACTTGTTTAATATAACATGATTCTCATTCATAAAGGGTAAATGTGTAATAACATGCAAAGCCAAGCTTTCAGTATATAACACTAACAGAACTTTGCGCTCGGCTTTCACCTGCTGGCAAATCAAGCACTTCTCAACAAACTAGGCGACGTCTCGCTTCATCCCCTTCCACCAAAACGACCCTTTCAAGTCGTGATACATCTTGGTGCTACCGGGGTGCGCTAAGTATGGAGCACTATGCGCCTCTGTCAAGATCTCCTTCTTCAGGGCCTCGACGTTCGGCACCACGATCCTCTCCTTGTACTTCAAGGCACCATCTATGCCTCGGTAAAAGCCCTCAACTCCTCCGGCATGAATCTTTGCCCCCATCGAGCGAATGAACTCGTCGAAGGCTTGATCCCTCCGGATCCTATCTCGTAGCGTGGGCCACATTCTCATCGCACGAATACCTCCCACAACTGGTAACTTAGGAGGTGATTTGACCACTTCTAGCTGCATCCGAGCGACCTCATGAATAACCTGACGCTGCTGAGTGATCATACAATTCAGTTCGCCCTTTCCCTTCCGGTTGAGGGCGTCAGCAACTACATTCGCCTTGCCCGGATGATAGTTAATGGTACAGTCATAATCCTTCACCAGCTCCAACTATCGCCGGTAGCGCATGTTGAGCTCCTTCTGCGTGAAGATATACTGTAGGCTCTTGTGGTCGGTGTAAATCTCGCAATGTCCCCCGTACAAATAGTGCCTCCATATCTTCATGGCGTGAACCACTGCTGCCAACTCAAGGTCGTGAGTCGGGTAGTTCACCTCGTGCGGCTTTAGCAGACGGGAAGCATAAGCCACAACCCTGCCGTCTTGCATCAAAACACAGCCTAGACCCTGCTTCGAGGCTATAGATAGTGAAACCTGTGTGGGGTCCGGAATAGTCAACACGGGTGCCGTCGTAAGCCTCGCTTTGAGCTCCTGGAAGCTCGACTCACAACGACTATCCCATTCAAACTTCATCGATTTCCTCATCAAACGGGACAATGGTAGGGCAATCTTCGAAAACCCCTCGATGAATCGACGATAATAGCCTGCCAAACCGAGGAAACTTTGAACCTCGGTGGAATTTCTTGATGTCGGCCAGTTCCGAACTGCTTCAATTGCTCGGGTCTACCTCAATCCCTCTGGATGTGATGATATAGCCTAGAAAAGCCACTCGATCGAGCCAAAATTCGCACTTTGAGAACTTGGCGTATAACTTCTCACGCCGAAGAGTCTCCAAAATGGTCCTCAAGTGCTCCTCATGCTGCTCCGGGCTACTGGAATAGACCAAAATGTCATCAATAAAGACGATAACAAATTGGTCCAAGAATGGATGGAAGACACGGTTCATGAGATCCATGAATACCGCTGGCGCGTTGCTCAAGCCAAACGGCATCACTACGAACTCATAGTGACCGTATCTAGTTCTAAAAGCGGTCTTGGCCACGTCGGCCTCTCTGATATTCAGCTGATGATAACCAGAGTGGAGATCTATCTTGGAAAAGACGCTGGCTCCCCTCAGCTGATCGAATAAATCCTCTATCCTGGGAAGCAGATACTTGTTCTTCACCGTCAACCGGTTCAAATTCCGGTAGTCGATGCACATTCTCATTGATCCGTCCTTCTTCTTGACAAAGTGGACAGGCGCTCCCTGTTATAGCATGTGTTTATATACTAAAAGTTTAGCTTTAGTATAAGTGGGAGATTGTTGGAGTATACTGTAAAGCAAACTTTTACGTGAGCTTTTGGATTGTATTATTCGATTTCCCATTTGACTGAAATGAATGTTTTTCACATTGTTGCACTCTTTATGATTGTTTGTATGCTAAATGTCCAATTATCTTATATTGTAGACAATGTGGTGTGTTAGTAGTCACACAGAAGATTGCATTGTCGGTTCCTTATAAGATATAAATGGTATTCACAACTGAGATAATTATGGACATGACTATCGGTGTAGGTTGTAGTATAAACTGGATGTAGCTTGTCTTGGCTATTGGTTTATACTAGTGCGCTGCATCGCATTGAAAGGATCACAGTTGAGACGTGTTCTTCTGTTCTGACTATCATGAAGAACCTAGGTCTCGGTGACTCTACTAATTCTTAACCCTAACTGTGGTAATTAGATATATGGGATATTTGTTTGTTACTTTGACTTACCATGGGTGAGGACCAAGTATTGGTTCAATAGCTCCGTATCTTGGGTAACAACACTATCTGCATGATATCTATTTATTGGCATTAGGGCACCGTGTCCTGGACATCCAGGTTGGTGACGTCCCCTTAAGGAACTCATAAGGATTATCGTATAAACCCTGCAGGTGGATTTAATCCGTACGATAATAAGGTTGAGTGGTACTACTTAAGGTTTAAAAGATATTAATTAATTAAAGCAGTCAGAAGCTTTAATAATTAATGGACGTGCGATATCTTAAACACGGGGAATTATATCGAGTCTAATAGAAGCCCTGATTCATTTCGGGATAGGACGGGAGTACAATATTAATTCTCTAGTGGAATGAATTAATATTTACGGGCTAAATTGTGTTCTGGGCTGAACATAAGAATTTGGGCCTGTAGGGAGCCCAAACCCTATACCTTCTAAGAGATCCCTAGGCTGGCCCAAGGACCTCTATAAAAGGAGGGATTGCACGTCTTCAACCCTAACACACATCACAAAACGTGAGCAGCCACCATAGTGGAGAAGTGACGTGAAGGGTTCAGATAAGACGAGATACAATCCGCTCTTTTCAACCGTTTGGTAGATCGTCGTCCATCCGGCGTCCAAACGTGGTCGGGACACAGACTAGAAGATCGCTCAGATCGAATCAAAGCCTCGTAGAAAGGTAAACTTTCTGTCCGTCCTTTAGGAGCATGCTTAGGGTTTAATCGAGATCATGTATGTACATGTTTGGCATCCGATATCGATCCTTGGAAAGGACCGCCTCGTCGGCGTGTTCCAGCAATTGGTATCAGAGCCTCGGTTTCGTAGATTATCGGCTCTGCCTGGAACATGTAGTTGATTTCGTTTATTCATTTATTCGTTTTCAGTCATGTTCATGGTGTGGATGATGTTTTATCTCGTTTATGCTTATGGATGGTGTCTATCGCAGCCCTTGTGTATTGTTGTAATCGTTTTTCCCACCAGATAATAAGTGTGGGTAGTATAGGCGATTTTGTAGACTGTAGTAGGGCTGTTCTTGTTCGATTTTTGCTGTACTTTTGTGTTCAAAGTCGAACGTGATGAAGATGATCATCCTGGAGGCGGCGGCTAGGGTTTCAGCGTTCACCGGGGCCGGTTTCGTCGGCGAAAACCGTTTTGGCCATAACTTTTGCTACAGGTGTCCGATTTCAGCCCATAATACCAATTCGGAAACGGGAGAACGAGATCTACAAGAGTTACGGCTATGCCGTAACAGCCTGTGGCGGGGTCAAATTCAATCGTCGAGATGAAGTTTTTGGCTCTTTTCCGTCGGTGGATGCCGATACCGCGTGAATGGCCCGATTTGCGCGAGATGCCGATTCGAGTGTTCATCCACGACCTTGCTGAATCATGTAATAGCTTTGATAGGCTGTTAGTGGTTGGTTTTAAGGGGCTGCGATAGATGTGTTTTAATTTTCGCATTTTATCGCTTTGTGGATGCCGATTTAATTTTTGCTAGAGCATGTTTATTTGTTTATGTGTCTAGCTGATTTAAATCGCTTTTCTGGCATGCTAGAAATCATGTAAATAGGTGCTTTTAATTCTTAGAAAGCTGTTATTGCTTTTATTTGAATTATAGGAGCATGCTAGGATTTATGTGATTTGCGTGTTAGGAGCATGCTAGGAATTTTATTATTTCTTGTTGCATGCTAATAAAACCTTCAAGTAAAAATGACTAAGTGAGTTTGATATGAATTTTAATTAATTCATTTGGCCTCCACAATTGGTCTTTAAGTAAGGTGTTTGTCGCTCGCGGGACCTTGGGAGTCTCCCCCTAACGGATGCGACATTCACGAGCTTACTAGATAAGACTTCTATTCAAACGACTTAATCTTTAGGTGAAGTGAGTGGCATACGCGTGACCCATGGGGTCTCCTCCCTAACGGATAGTGTCATTCATAAGTTCACCGGTAAAGATTATTTCGAGATAACCTTAGAAAATTATTTACAAGCGATGTGTCTTCCCCATCGGTAAGTTCATCAATTGTGAATGATTGTTCTTGGGGTTAAATTGTGGTCATCACTTAGATGTGAATTTTAATATAACTCCCCAACGGAGTCCCTGTTTTAATTCACATGGCCAGTGTTAAAAATTTTCGACTATTAATTTCATTCGCCATAAGGACAGGTTGGCGTGCAATTGAGATTAATGACCGGGTGTCTGCTTAATGGACATATGTGTAAACGTCCACCCTAACGTGGCTTGCATGTGTGTTTGTTTAAGTTGTCGAAGGATGCGTTAAAATAATGGTTTTGAAGGTTTCCATATTTTATGCTTCAAATTTATGTGAATTATTGCTTACGTGTTTGCAATTATTTATTTCAGTTATTCATCATGTCATTCAATCCGCTTATGACCATTCTCAATCAAAACAAGCTTACTGGTCCAAATTATTTGGACTGGAAGAGGAATCTGGATATTGTCCTTGTTGCTGATGAGTACAAATTTGTGCTCACCACACCTGCTCCTGCTCCTTTGGGCGCTGCTCCTACCGAAGAGGAAAGGGAGGCTCATCGGAAGTGGCATAAGGCTGATGAGATGGCTCGTTGCTACATCTTGGCATCTATGTCAAATGTTTTGCAACAGCAGCATCACACCATGCCTACTGCTGCTGACATGATGTTGAGCCTCAAGGAACTCTTTGGTGAGCAAGATAGGGCTGCTCGTTTTGAGGCTATGCGGAAGATTATGTCTTCTGTCATGCCGGAGGGAGCTTCTGTGCGAGAGCATGTTCTCAAGATGATGGAATATCTGAATGAGATAGATGTGCTCGGAGGAAATATCGATGGCGATGCCAAGATCGATATCATCCTGCACTCGCTCCCGAAGTCCTATGAGAACTTCCGCCTGAATGCAATCATGAATAAGAAGGGCTATACTCTAGCCGAGCTTCTTGTGGACTTGGTTGCAGCGGAGGGTCTTATGGGCAGGGGACCACAGGCTCATGTTTCTGTACAAGCTGGACCTTCTTCGTCGAAAGGCGGGAAGAAGAAAAAGCAAGTGCAGAAAAAGAGTGGTGGGAGCAGTGGGAGCAAAGCTGTAGCGCCTTCTGGTGGCGTGCAGAAGCCGAAAGGCAAGTGCTTCAAGTGCAACAAGACAGGACATTGGAAGTCAGATTGTCCCCTCAAGGACACTCCTGGTATGTCTCTTGCTTTAGTTGTCGAAACATGTTTTGCGGCTTGTTCTACCAGTTCTTGGGTAGTAGATACAGGAGCCACTGATCATGTTTGTTACACTTTGCAGGGGTTTCTGCAAAGAAGGCAGCTC